GCCCACTGTGTGTGCAAAGCCCAGAGGGACTTCCAGTCTGTTTCCGCCCCTCCTTTCTAGAACGGAGAAGGAGCTCTTGGCCTCAGAGCCCACTGCGTGTGCAAAGCCCAGAAGGACTTCCAGTCTGTTTCCGCCCCTCCTTTCTAGAATGGAGAAGGAGCTCTTGGGCAACTCTGCCATATGTCTCGGGTGGGATGCTGACACCTGTGTTTTCACACGGCTCCTTGCTGGCTCCTGGGCCGACTGAGAACATGCCGGGGCCCCTGCTTGCTTCTCCTGCCCTGGGGCCCCTGTGGCAGGCCAGCAGGTGGGGAGCTGCAGCCTGATTTTGGATGTCGAGGGGCATTTATGCAGAGGAACTTTCCTTCAGGGTGTGTGGGTTAAAGGGTCAGTGCTTTAGGGCTGGAAGTAGGTTTTGTAGGGGGCGGTGAGGGTTACCTGGAGGACGAAAGCTAAGGGAGTAAAGGTAAGAGCAAAGATAAAGAAGTAACTCCTACTTCATGAGTCTGACTCCATGCCAGGCATTCTCCAGAGCGCTTCTCCTGGACGGATTCAATCCACCCTGAGACATGGGGACTGCCTCCCTATTTAACACGGCAATATTGAGTAATAACCTGCTGGTGGTCCCTCAGCGGGTTAGTGGCAGAGATGGGATTCAAAGCCCACGTTAACCACACGACACTGTGGGAAGGATGACCGCTTGGCAGCTGAGGCCGCTTTAACCCATCTCTAAACACGTGACCACAAATGGCTGAAGGTGGAGGAAATTCTGGAGACCAACAAACCCAACTCCTTTATTAGACAGATGAAACAGGAGACTCAAGAGGGAAAAGGAAGGGACACTTGGTCAGGATAGAGCTTCTTATGAGAGCAGGAGTCAGAACAGTCTTGGGATAGCTGGCTCCAGGATTTCACGGCTGCTGAACTGATTTTCTTTCCGGAAATAAGGCCCCCTCCCCACCACCCCTGGAGAGGACGTTTGTCGCAGAACAATATGTTTTCACATTGGTGCACAACAGCTCATGTCTGGGAGATGCGTATCACCCCACCTTTGAGCCGACAGGAAATGAGAAAGGGGGACGTGGACCTCCTCGTGTTCATCAAGTGAAAAGTGGCTGCTGACTCATCATGGCAGCCCCCTGTTCCGAAGCTTCCTTCCCAGGTCACCAGTGGTTTCATAATTGCTAAATTCAAAGAACATTTTTTCTAGCCTGATTTTACACACGGCACTTGATATTAGTTGGCAATAACAAACACAGAGAATTTCATGGAACTCTCTCCTCCTGCGACACCCTCTCCTAAATTTTTCCATGCTTATTCTCTCCAACCCCCTTCAGTCTTCTTCCTGAGATGCTCTTTTTCTGCCTGTCTCTCCAATTTAATTGTTCCGTCGAATTCTGACCTCAGTCCTCTACTGTTCTCTTCCTCTAAGCTGTTCTTGTTTAAACAAATCAGAATTCTTTCAAAGATCATAATAAATGCTCCCTCTATCTCTTTCCATTTACAACTTTATTTGGTCTCCAAAATTTCTGGAGACAGCTATAGTCTGTGGAAAGAAAGGGACAGAAAGAAAGCTGGACCTCTATACCTAGGGACAAGCTTAGAAAAATAAGAAACTCAGGTCAGTTAGGGTCACCTGTTATGAGGAAAGCCAGGTAGAATTTAACCAGCATGCTTGAGATGGACAGGGTTGAGGAAAACAAAACTTGTCCTAAGTAATCTGGACAAGATGGATCGATAAAGCGAAATTTGCTCACAATATTCAGCAGGAATCAGCGGACCTGATAATTAATAAAAAATAATTTTAAAAGTAATGTGTAATTTTGAGAACTAAAACGTGAGAGCAGGATTTGGAAGGGGCTGGGTTCTAGTTGGGGTCGAGGAGTATTTTATTTCAAAACCGTTGACTCTTTCACGGCCCCTGATGACAGGACTTGTTAACAAGTCAGTCTTACTTCCAAAGCTAACTAAGTTAACATGTTTGTAATCTGCCCACATTGCACTGAAGGAGCTGACATCCAATTTTACTGTTCTTTTTGTGACTTTCTAATGTTCTTAAAGCATTCTGACACAATTATGAAAGACACCGTGGGGCTTTGGCCCTTGTTAAAATTAGCTGACCCTTAGTGAGGCTCTAGCTTGGGGTGACAGGTGGTAGGACTATGAGCAGCAACCAGGTCACATCTGGTTTTGCTTGGTCTGGGATGGCCACAGTTGACTGACTTGATCAATTAACCCCCAGAAACTCAGAGAGGGGGTCTAAGGTGGCACATAGCCAGAAAGTCCTTCAGACTTGCTCTCTTGTCATTCAACAGAGGAAAAATGGCTAATTCCCTAAAACATCAGTGTTCTGGAAAACAAAATTTAATACTTCATCATGGAAACAGGTATTGATTTGAAATAACATTAGCTTCAGCTGGAATATATCAAAAGCAAAGACCAAACTGAGGCTAGATTGACTTCTTGCAAAGGATGCTTAACTTCTGCTCTCTTTAAATTTCTCAGTGTTGATCTCTTTCTCCTGTAAAGATAGTATGTGGGGAGGAGTTCACATCCTTCTCTGCCAAGAACCTTGAGGATGAGCAGAGAAAGGAATAACAGATTTCTCCTTTCAAGCAAACCTGAACTTAGGGAATTCATTTCTTTCTCTTTCTTTCTGCACAGATCAGAGACCTCAGCGATAACCCAGCCTCCCCTCTGATTTTGTAGCTGAGGACCTTGAGCTCCGGAAAGCAGAGAGCAGAGCCAGATTTAGGTTTCCTAAGTCATCTTCCTTGTTCCATTCTGTCTTGATGGAGACTACACGAAGCCTAGACTCTTACTTTTGGAAGGACCTCTATCAAAACATTCCAGAGACTTTTATTTTTTCCATTGTCAAGGTTATTAAAACCAACGGGGTTGGGGGGCAGACAGGGCACCTGGGTGGCTTAGTCGTAAGCATCGCCTCTTGGTTTTGGCTCAGGTCATGGTCTCAGGGTCTTGGGATCGAGCCCCGTGTCCCCACGTTGGGCTCTGTGCTTAGCGGGGAGTCTGCTAGAGATTCTCTCTCCCTCTGCCCCTCCCCCCACTCACGCACACATGGTCTCTCTCTAAATAAATAAAATCTTAAAACAACAACAACAACAGTAACAACAAAGTCACAAAGGCCTTTCTATTACTCACCAACAAACAACTGGCTGTAGAGCTCCAGGCGGGTGTGACCCTCTGTGGGTGCCTTGCGGATCTGCTGGGGCAGCCGATCCACCTGTAAACTGGCTTGCTTGACATTCCTCTCCGCGGTGACCCGGTGCCACTGGTCATCATTGAGAGGGGAGGGCGACCTCACCACAATCTCCACTGGCCCATTTCCGACATCAAATGAAAAGGACACTTCGGTGGCAGCTGGAGGAGCAGAAAGCATGAGAGGCACATGAATATTTTCCTCCCAGATAACCAAATAGCAGTGATTTCTAGAGGAAAAACAAAGCCGGGAGAGAGAAATAATCTAAGCCTATCATTTGCTACAAAAGTTCATGGCAAAATCACTTGAGGAAGGATAAAACATCAATCCGCTTTAACCATATTTCCTCCGACAAGAGGGAAATAGATGTGGATCGGGGACGGAGAATACATTTATTTTCTTACTCAGTCTTTAGAAGCTTATCGAGAGGTTACCATCATTGACTCTTTCCAGATAAGCAAACCCAGACCTGGAGAAGTTAAGCATGTGCAGAGTGTCTTACGTTTAGTGAGCAGCGGAGCTAGGACGGTAACCCAGGCTTGTCAGGCTTCCGAGCCCCTGATCTGTTGATTACACACGATGTAACTCTTCAGTAGCTCCCAAGGCAGTGACCTGCTCCTAGAGAGCTTTCTGGAACACCTGTGTCCAGCTCCATCTGCAGGGGTTCTGGCTCGGGTGGTCTGGCATAGAGCACTGATATTTTTAAAAGCTCCTTGGAAAATATTAATATATAGCTAGAATTGGGAGCTACTGCCTTGGGAGAGCTTACAAAACTGTATTTCATTAATGTAGTCCTTGCAGTTCCTGTTGAAAGCTAGGGAGCTGTGAGTGTTGAGGCAATGAAGGTGACCTGCATCTTTTTTGGGCCACTGTGGCTATCCACAAGGTAGCTCAAGATTCCCGCACAGCAACCCCTTTCCCGAACCATTTGCTGTGCAGTTTGGTCATTCCCCATCTGAAAGGCCGGCTGGATCCTTCTCACAACCTACCCTCCAGCACTGACCACAAATCATTCTTTTTTCATAGATCTGCTCGAAGTCCGTAATAAATCACCTTTCAATAAGAGAAAAATGGATTAGGGTGGTTTGCTTTGGCAGCTTTGGTTGTTAAGTAGCTTTCCTACTTCACATTTTAGGTTTTAATTTCCTCAGTGACCACCTAACACTTTATAAACATGCTTTTTGAATGTGTATTTTTCTTGCGATTGGCAGGAGAGGCAGCTGAGTGGGAAAGCGGCACCCAGGTCCCCAGCTCCTTCGGCTTGCTGAGTTCTTTTCGACATTAAAGACGCGGCACGCGAGTGGATTTCCTAACTTTGCTTATAAAGAGATTCAGCCCCTTTATCTATCCACTAAGCCTTCTGCCTAATCTCTAAGCAGTTTAATTAAATATCTGTCATTTTTGGGCGCCTGGGTGGCTCAGTTGGTTAAGCGACTGCCTTCAGCTCAGGTTGTGATCCTGGAGTCCCAGGATTGAGTCCCGCATCGGGCTCCCTGCTCGGCAGGGAGTCTGCTTCTCCCTCTGACCCTCTCCCCTCTCATGTGCTCTCTCTCTCATTCTTTCTCTCTCAAATAAATAAATAAAATCTTTAAAAAAAAATCTGTCATTTTTTCCCAGGCTAATGGAAAATTCAGCTTCTTTGGACTGGTACCATTTTGAGATGGTGTCACAAGCAATCAAGCTTCTAATTTAAAAACCGCAGTGGGCCAGATTCTCTCAGGACCTAGACTGTTCCCTGCCTCTGGGTCAGGCTCCTCTGAAAGCTGCATTAACTTTATTAAGCTACAGGGATTTTAAACGCAGAGCTCAATTTAATCAACCTAATTGTACCAAGGAATTTTGATCCTTTATGTCGTTAGAAAGAGAACTTTAATTTTAACACCTGTGGTGAATCTACATGGACTCCAGTGAAGTATCTCCTCTATATTAGGGGCTCATGCCTCCAGGGGTCACTGTGACTCAGTGGAGGCCAGTGACCTTCATGAAGGTTTCTCTGGAAATATCAGAATGCAGGTCGACGATCGTATGACTCACGGACTGAATGATCTTTCCCTGTATTTCCGGCAGAGTCAGTGGGGAAAAGTGGCCTCCGGTGTTAAGATTGAATCTGTTGTGTTCTTGTAGTGCTATGTTTTAGCAGATGCATTTTTAAATGTAAGTTGTCAGAAGAGCAAGAGCACAAAATTCCCTGCGCTAAGTAGGAAAGATCGTTTCATTTTAAAGGCACCAACAACCATCAGGGCAATAGAATTTAGGGATAAATTGGGTTTAACCCTAAGGTTTGACTTGGAGGGGTAAATGCTGCTCTAATTTCCTCTCCTCCTCTCTTCCTGCTATGATGGATTTTTGTCCAGGTCTTTAAATTGTCACCATTTGGAGAAACTCCGAGTACCAACGGTTAATGAGGAATTGTCCATACTCTTTTCTCTGCTTGTCACACTAGATCTCGTGTTTCTTCCTCTGGACCATGGTCTTCTTAACATCAACACTTCACTCCAGAGAAGGCAAAGACGTCTCCAGGATCCTTCTATAGCTCAGTCCCCTCACCAGTTGGGCGCAGTAAGAGGCACTCAAGGTCAAAGGCCTCTGAAAGCAGATTCCTCCTTAAAGGGCCTCTACTCAGGCTCTAGTGTAGAAATATTCACATTTTTCATACATCCCTTCTCTGGTTTCCTGAGGAAGGGGCTGCAGGCCCCGCGTGAGTGCAAAGAAAAGGGCTCCCTTTTTTTCTTCTGTCATTCAATGTCAGCTCCCCTCACTTTGCTAAGGGATGCCTTTGAGAATCCATCTCCCAGTCAAACGGCAAGTGTGTTTTAAAAGCTTCTAAAGTTCAGTTTGTGGCTGATTGCTCTTGCTCTTCTGGATGAGAGGAGCTGACATTTTAAAAGAGATAATTACAGAGAGAGTCAGGGAGCGAATAAAAGGGAGACAGCCTCAAAGACACCAGACCAACGACACTGTCCTTACTTAATGTGAGTGTCTCCAGTCGGAGGCTGCAGAGTTGCCCTGTTTCTGCCACTAAGACAGGAATTTCTTACATGCTGAAAGCAATCCTATTTCCAGAAATAAGTATTTGAGGATGGAATGGGGTGTATCGGGTGTGCCTCAGGGGAGAGAAGACTGTAGCAAACACGGATGGTTGTCTTTCTATTAGTGTCAAGAACTGGGAATTGTCCGAGATTTTACCCCCTCGGATAAACTAACAACGTAGTCTCCCATGGTTTCCTGGGTGCTGGCAGAAGACAGAAGCCTCCTGGGTCCGAGACAAAAGACATATTGTCCACAGCAGAGCAGGCAGTATGGGCTTCATGTCCACATTGATTTCTCTTGTGCCCCACGTTCCATGGCGGGGGGTGCCATGTGGAGCCGCCCAGATGGATGACGCATATGCAGGGAGTTTGTGTCACTGCCGAGGGACCTGAACTTAAGAAACCCCACTCTTTCAAAGGGGCGGCTAGACAACCAGCTCAATTTTTGCCCTGAGAAGAGACATTAGCTTCATTATCCTGGTCAGGAAAGAAATCTACCTCTATGTTCCAAGACTGTGTGCCGTCCTCACATCCTTAGAAAGGTCTGAACAAAGCTACTGATACCTCTTGCTCAGAAGACAAGCAGAAACTGGGGAGACCCATGGGCAATGCCCCTCCAATAAATAGCCACAGTGCCCTTTTCCAGTTTTGTCCAGGAATCTCTGTACTGCCCCAGAATCGTATGCTTCAGGTATGGATGGCCCTGCCCCAGACCCAGAACATGAATCAGGATTTGTCTAAGTCGAATTTGGCAATCTCACTCTCCTTACCAGTAACCCACTTAGGATGGGACATATCATTCCCTCCTGGCTAACAGGATACAAGGAGAGTCTTTAGGGTTCTTTTGGGACAATTTCTTAGCTCAGAGGAGAAGAGACAGTCAGCCCCTTTATACCCCTTCATCTTGGGTGGAGGTTGTGGTTCCTAATGTTGCTGGGGCCATCTTGTAATCAGACATGCTGAGAAGAACAGGGAGGACAATGGGATAAACCTGGGTCTGTGATGATGTTGGTCAGCTCTTAAATTATTCCCAGAGCCACTCAACACTTTTCATGTGAGACATCCATTATTGTTTGAGCCGTTTTTATTACAGCTGAAAGCATGTTCACTGTTACGGGGAATAGTTTGGGAATCAGTAGATGCGACTTCTGGTTGTAACTTTGCCTTTTCACATTTTGGGTCTCAGTTGACTGGCGTCTAAAATGATAGTTTTCCAAGACTTTCTGTGGCCAAAATGTGTTTGAAAACACTGAACTAGACAATCTCGAAGATCCCTTCGCATGGCGACATTCTGTGATCTAATTTGCAAGAGATTCTAAGAGAACTAATGAAATGAAATACAGCTAGTCTTGCTGGTAATTTTAGATATTGAATCCTTACAGGGCGAAAAGAGATTACGTGAAAAGAGAAATGCACAAGGTGGCATATTGGCATCACAGAAGAGGCCAGATGGAGGACATGCCCTTTGGATCAGTCTGGTTCACGACTCCATCTGACGGAATGAAAACAATCAATGGGAAAGAACCACGCACAGCTCTCGGTCCGGCCCCTTTCCAGGTCCAGCAGGCGGCGCTATTCGCTCTCATTCTAACTCAACACAAGTTTTCTTCAAAAAATCACCTCCAGGCTTCAGGTACTGAGTGACAGATTTAACAACTGGCCGGAATAACAGGCTTTTGGCCTCCGAGTTCTCTCAGCAGTTGAGGTAACTTTTAGACATGCGGTCACTCAATACGGAACAGGTAAAGGGAAAAGACAAGGCCGGGTATACACAGTGAGCTTGCTGAGCCGATGGGCTAACGCTGCTGTTTTGATAATGATTTGTTTTTCCATCTTAAAATGAAGCTTAAGGACTGGTAGGGTTGTTCCGCACAAAATCTCATTTGATCCATACAGCGAAACCGGTAATAGGCGGACCAGATATTTTAGCCTCATTCTACAGTGGAGAATGTTATGGATATATTTTCTTCTTTTTTTTTTTTTTAGGAAGGAAGGGCTAAGTGGACATCAGGAGACCAAAGGAACATGCAACATGAGAGGGTCATGAGAAGGGGAAGGTAGATGGCAAACAAGGTCCCTGCGAGAATCAGAGAGATGAGGAGAAGAAGGAAGAAGTAAAGGGACTATCTCTGCTCTTATCTAAGGCCGGAT